AAATTGGAGCATCGTCCCTGGCCGAAGTCCGTCCATGCTGCAATCTCATTTCCTCAGCGTCCTCAATCGAGAGCTTCCCAATCACCTTCTTCGGTTGCACACAATAATCTCTTACTCATCCCGAATGATAGAACCCATTGCGTAAAACCTAGCACCACATTTAATGTCACAACTCATACGACTTGCCAAAACACAAAACTACAAATTAATAGTGATTTGCTCTTATTTCACAATTAAATCGCATGAATATGGTGATGCAATTTGCTAGTCTTCATGACATTGATCGTATAGATATGGATTTTTGTGGCCGAATACACATACAAACTTTATACAATTATGCTCCTTGGACCGGGATTGCCGACAGGGAGGTGATGACAGGACGGGATTTGATGTTGCATTTTTTCTTCAAACTGTTCAATCATATATCGATACATTTTTTCTGTATTTGAGAACGTCAATGTAGCTTGATTGGAAACTTTTTCACCTTACAATCACTTGATAGACATAGGAGTTGACCTTAAAATAGACCCCTCTTTCGCTCTCTCACACGTACATGCACCATTGATTCCCTCAGAATCTTTAAAACAAAATTCAATCCAATTAAAAAGTTAATAAAGTTTAATCAAACAAGCACTTGTTTAAGTAAATCCTTGTCAACACTTACTGCGAATTCGAGCAATGGCTAAAATTGAGCACTCCATAAATATTTATTTTTGTTTTTTATGACCAAATTTCACAGACCGTGACATTTTTACATTTCATGACAAACCTTAGAATTGGTCAGCGATGAAAGATTTCCTCATTTGGTTAATTGCTTTAAATCTTTTGCAAAATTAATAAAATAATTCATTAAGCTCTCGTTTGACCTCCATTATTTGTAATTTTAATGATTGAAATAGTTTTTTTTTAAAAAAATGTATATTAAAAAATGATTTTTTTTTTTTTTTTAAGAGATTATGTGTTATTATTTTATTGAAAAATATTTGATTGATAAAAAAAGTGAGGAAATAAATTATAATTTTAATGAAAGTTGGCGGAACTAAATTATACGAACTTGGTCAAGAAAAAAAAGTAGAGCACGTTTTCTGGTGCAAGGACGGATAAGCAAAGCTGATGCATTGCTACGTGGACGCAAATCTACCGTTAGATCACCACTCAAAGGACTGGGATTCAGTCTGTTTGATGAGATTTTAATTCCAAACTGCGAGACAAGTGTAGAAGAATTGGCAAGATTTTGTGCTTAAAAACCAGTCACACACACTCAAAATAGAGAGAGAGAGAGAGAGAGAGGGGCGGGGGCAGAGGGAAAACAGTACTGTGGGATGTCTTAAATTGAGGTTGCAGAGGGGTAATTGCAGTGGCTGATGGCGGCGTTTGCAGGGCTGTGACTTTAATGCATCAAAAACTAAGACTGGATTGAATTCAAGAGTGAGAGTCACGGGGAGCCAACGAATTCAACTTTCCATTCCATTCCTTGACCTAAAAAATTCCTGAAATTTGTCCTCAAAAGCTGATAAAAGAGAACGAAACCCCAAGAAATCGCACAGTGAGAGTGTGTCAGTGAGCAGAGTTAGCAGCACAAAACACTCGCCCACTCAATACGCATATACCATGTAGTATAATCAAGATTGCGAATTTACAAATTAACCCAGTTTCTCTCTTACACACGCTGGCTAAGCTAGGCTGAGGTTTTCTGGCTATGGATTTTGTTGTCTTAAAATTGAAGTTGGACATAGATTGTAGGGGTGGAAAATGTCTGGGTTTTTCTCACTAGGTGGTAAGGATCAAGAACAAGAACACAATCAAGACACTAATAATAGCTCGTTTCTGTTTAAGAACGAAGAGATCTATAGCAAGGGTTTTGAGCTATGGCAACAGTACTATCAGTCGCATCAACAAAAGCTACAGCAAAATCATCAGGATGTGGATTTCTCGGTTGGACCCAGTAGTAGGACTAATACTATTGCAGGTGATGACTCTTCAAACTATAGTTACAGATCAGCAGGGTTTAGGGTCATGATGAGGCAAGGAAGAGACGGTGGAGAGGGCGTGAATTGCCAAGATTGTGGTAATCAGGCTAAGAAGGATTGCCCACATCTTAGGTGCCGGACTTGCTGTAAAAGCCGAGGATTTCAGTGCCAAACCCATGTTAAGAGCACCTGGGTTCCGGCTGCTAAAAGGCGCGAGAAGCACCAGCAGTTTGCGACCTTGCAGCAGCATCAGCAACAAATGCAAGATCAACACCAGTTAACGCTGAGAGAGGAAATTCCCAAGAGGCAGAGAGAGAATCCTGGTGGTGGAGGTGGTGGTTCTTCTTCTCTTGCCTGCACTACTACTCGTTTACCCACCTCAACGTCAGGTAATGCTGTAGTTTTCAATAGAAACAAAATGGAATTTGAAAAAATGAGCACCACCGACTTGACGGGTTCTTGTCTTCAACTTTGAATTCTCGAATATGTAAATTGTCGTAAGAACAAGGGAAACATATGATCCATACATACACACATCATTTACGTGCAATGAAAGAAGTCCAATTTCTATGTAGTCACACCACCAACCACCTGCCTTTTCTTTTCTTTCTACTGTTGCAGAGTAAAACTGACGCATGAATTTGTGAAAGTACTTTCTTCTTCAAGATTTTTTGCTTTTTTTATTTTTTTTGGAAGATTAAACATGAATCCTTTGTGAAAGTGCTTTGTGCTTTTCTTATTTTGATATTTTCTTGATTTTTGACTAGGGTTTGAGTTGGGGAACTTTCCAGCAGAAGTGAATTCTTCAGCTGTTTTTCGCTGCGTAAAAGTGAGTGCAATGGATGATGCTGAGGAGGAGTACGCCTACCAAACGGCAGTCAGTATTGGAGGCCATGTTTTCAAAGGAATTCTCTACGATCAGGGTGCCGAAAGCCGCTATCCTGGGGACAACTCTCCGGGCTGCGGCGGATCCCAACAGCCACGTGATCTCATCACCGCCGCTGCAGCCACCACTAGCCACCAGGGTTTGACAATGCTTGACCCTTCAATGTACCCAACTCCTCTTAACTCTTTCATGGCCGGTACGCAATTCTTCCCACCACCAAGGCCATGAGAAATGGTAGTATAGCATTACTGCTACTACGTAATCTTTTAAAAGGGACTCAGTCGCTAAACTCATGGTGCTGGACAATATTAAATAAAAAAATAATAATAAAAATATTTGTCGCTCGAGATTTCTGTTCAAGTAAATGTCCATTTGTTATGTGCCCTACAAATACACTGGGGATGTTTAATTTTTGTTCGAATTTCAATTATGATTTTGCTTTATGGTTAAATGTTAATGCTGTTTATGTTATCGATAACCCTTTTTTGTGTGCGCTTTTGGAACTGTGGTGGTATTTGTGCAGCATTTGGATAAGTGCATTTTGCATGTTTTATGTTGAAAAAGATTATTGTATAAATTCTTTATAGGTTTTTCTAATGTGGGCTCGTTTTTCAATTGGATTTCTTGTTGATTTTGAACTTGACAATGCATTTCCCTTATAACTGGTTTGTTTGTCGCATAAAACTAGGACAAAATAGTTAGATATAGAATTGTATAAGAATTAAGTTAGATATACATTCTTGTTGACAACAAGGATGACATTCTCTTTATGTGGACGAAATCTGTGCAATAATGTGATGGATGAGTTGAAAATCAATAGTGTAGATTTTGCTACGGGAGAGGTGTAACAGATACATATAGCATGATTATATAATTCTATGGCTGGTTCTGTTACATACATCATTCCCCAAGCCATATTGTCTTGTTTTTGGACGAAACAATAAGGAAATGGCCTGTTCGCGGTCCAGCACTGCAAATCTACGCACTGGCAAATGTCATTTTGACGTTCTTGTCCCAGAAGTGTGCAGCTTAAGAAATCTCTCTCTCTCTCTCTCTCTCTACATATATATATGTATGTATCTGCATTATACACAAATACATACATATACCATTAACCCATGATCCCATTTCAAGAAACCTGGATTTAAGGCCATTGGAATTCAAAATTCCAGTCTCTCTCTCTCTCTCTCTCTCTCTCTCTCTCTCTCAGACACACAGACTCACTTTCTCTCTCTTGTAGATGTATATGCATACACCAATATTGGCTCCATGATGCCATTTCAAGAAACCTGGAAACAAGGCCATTGGAAAGCAAACTAGTTGACATTGACATGCATGAATATGACTTGTATAAAGATATTGGAAGAAGTGAATTCTAAATATATGTGATTCAACACATAAATGTTGATGTAGGTTAAGGTACATATAATGGTCAGGATTAAAGGTACTTTATATAGGTTACTATATATGGCACGATTTGTAAGAAACAGAAGAGTTTAGAAACTTTTGTTAGGTTTGAAATTTCAAATGTGTGTACTTCAGGAAGTACAGATTGTTTCATGGTGAGGTATTAAAAATTAGCAAAAAATAAAAAATGAACAACTTTGTTTGAGGAAAGGATATAAAATATAAGTAATTGCTTCAATGGTTAGGGGATGATGATTATTGAAGATAGTAGTCCATACTCACTACTGTTAAGAGATGCTCGTCAAACGCATAGAGCTTATGTTTTGGCATGACTTTGGTTGTTAGGATTGGAGCTATCTACTTGCAATTGATATCATAAACAATAATGAATTCTGCCTTTACTGGATTCTCTTACGAGGAAAAGAAAAGGAGGACAGATGAATCTTTCTCCCGGGTAGATTCGAGAAAGAAGAAATTGATAAATGACTATAGAATGGACATTTTTCTAATAATGGGCTTCAAGATAAATGTGTAGAATATGTTGTCTAGAGAGAGCAACGACATTGATTTGGGGGTGATGAAGTGTTTACCGTTAATTCAGGATAGGAGATTGAGCTATTTTGGTCGTGTTAGTTGATCTGCCTCAAAATTTCTTTCATCTTACTTGGTGTCATTCTTTTCAGACTCGTCCGTATGTACCGTATCTGCTTCTTGCAGATGAGTTATATTAGCACCTATTTAACTCGCAACACGTGTGAGTATGCTATATGTAGAATACGAAGGAATATGTTGTTTTTATTTGGCGTCATCATAGAACTAATGTTGTTTTTCTGATGTTTACCAGATATATCGATTACATGTTGCTAAGATCGAATTTGTTTATTTTCTAGAGAGATGTTAATGAGCAGCATTTGAATGACATAGGGCATAAGCTTAATATTAATGTCTTCCTAGCTCCTTGGATATTCGCTTCTGACATGAACCGAGTTTACTTAGGTCATTTTACTTATTCATTGTAGCGTTTAGTCTCTCCACTGCTGAACGCTAAACACGCCATCATATTGTCCCTCCAGCATATGAAGTAGCAAGAAAATGTCGTTCAAGGTTTTCTTCTCAGTTCCTCTACTAGGCAAACAATGATGTGTGCAGATTGTGAACTCTCTTAATGTTTGGATCATAGAGTTAAGCCTCCGTTTGACAAATTTATAAATGGTTTCTAAAGAGTAATGGTAACTTATCAAGAAAATTTGATTCAGATTTGAACTATTAGACTAGTGCTATAAGTTTTGCTTTGGGTGGCGTCAAGAAAATAATTACAAACAGTAGATTAAACAAAAATCAGTGCATCTGATATCGAATAATCTACATAGGGTTTTTCTATATTATACAGATACAGATGTATGAAAACGCATCTGGGTAACAAGTTTGGACAGAAAAATATGTGACTTGGATGAAAAGAAACGATGTAAAGGGTGTCAAAATGTGTTGGACAATCACGAACGCAGCATGATCCAGGTCCAGGCCCAGGCTATCCCCGTTTGTGTTGGATGTTTGACAACAAAAGATTCTCGGCCAAGAAATGCCTTCCTGAATTTCCTATCTTTACACATTGTATGTGATTTCACACCTGTACTGGTGTAAGTTGTACAGACATTGGGGATACCAGTTAAAAGGATTCATTTATGATGACTTACATTGTTGCAAATCAATTAATACAAACAACACAATAAAACAACCAAATGTGCTTAAACCAGAGAACCCTTCTGCTATTTACCAAAATACCAGTGATGAGGGCGAGCAAATATAAATCGAAAACACAAGAATCGTAGATCTATTTCACGCTACATGTATAGATGAATATATGCACATTCGATTGACATTTGATGTGTAATCATGGAAAATAAGATTTGATATTCTTCAAGAGTCAGTATAGGCAATTAATATGGGCTACCAAGTTCTTGAATCTTTCTCCGAAAACCATGTTCAGAAGTCTACGTTACTTTTCAACCGAATCAACGCGTTCTAGTTGAGTTTGAATGAATTGACATGGTAGGGTAACTTAGGGGTCATATGAATTCATTTTAGCAGGGAAAAAGCGGAAAATGATCCAAAGAGTAGGGCTGATAGGGTTTGGAAGTTTTAGGAAGATAGGGTGAGGACAGGCGCATGCTAGATTTTGCTGTTTCTTTGCAATGTAATTGCGATGCAAAGTGGTCCAAAATCCCACTTTGTTACCAATAATGCGTTCTGTCTGCATAAATGGCTTATCTTTGTTTTCTTCTTCTATTTTTTGTTTGGCTAGTCAAATTTTGTGCAGGTAATGCCCTATTGCATAATTTGCATGGTCCTAGAACACGCATAGGACTAGCCTTGAGGGCTTCTTTGGGTATGATGCTCAATAGGATTACAATATATGAGATTTTATTCGAAGCAGCAGTCCACTACACGAAAAAGGGCAGGAGCCATCCCGGGTTAAATGGTTGATGAATTCTTGATGGTTGAATGAATGTTACCAAGCCAGTTTCTAATGTCCTAGGTGAGAGCAGTGCTAGTTAAACGCCACTTAGAAGTGGATTCGAACCATTGATACAAGGTTTTTCAGTCATTTGCTTCCAGTCATTCTTTTTAATTTTATCCATTACCATCTGACCCACTTAACAAAACATGTCAAATAGGACTTAACGATGCAATACATAGGTGTCATGTCATACCGTTTATCGATAATCCTATTGTAAGTGGCACATTCCCAAAGTATTGATCAATGAATCTTGAACATGTGGACCCTAATGAGCCTTCAATGGGGATATACATGTTCCTTAACAATTAACACCATTATTCGCGTATCAATAATTTATAAATCAATGGGAACTTCTTTTTCTGTTTTTGTTGGTGCTGTCTCTGGAGGGTATGAGTGTAGCGACGCCTTTGCCTCGTCCTATTCGTTATTGGATCCTGAATGTTTTGCAAATCTCCGTAAATTGTGCAAGATGTTCGCGTGAATCTTCGCGAGGAAGACCAAAGAATTGTATGTGATTCTGAAGCATTGAAATAGTTCCCATCTTTATTTCGAAATTATTCGCTTCCAACCTCAGTGGGGCTATGCTTGATTGAGAGCCATCAGCGATTAGGTTAATTGGCCATAATGATTTGGTTCTTCTGCAACTTCCTCTTTCTGTTCTACGGTGCTTTCTTGCCTCCAGTCTGCGACAATATATAATTTCGATCTTCGAATCAAAAGGAACCAAATTGGTTATGGTCGTCCGTATCATGCACTCGACAGCATTAATCTGAAAGAACAATAAAATAAGGTTCAAAATAAGGTTAGAATTAATCGATATGGATATTAAACACAGCCCCGACAGCAGTGCCAAAAATGTGTTCGTTGATATCATAAATGTACTAATCGTGATAAGTGTACATGATTGGTGAAGTTATCATTCCTCGAAGATCGTGTTACTAAGTACCGAAATCAATAATTCTACCCCTATTTGAAGAAATAATTATTTAAGATGAGTTATTATAAATCTAATTAATTCAACTACTTTAACAGTGAATGCAAATGTGCGACTTGAACACTTTAAACTTGAAATTAAAATGATGGCTTAAAATGCTAATACTTTTGACTTCACCCTAGTTTTTAACCTTAACTTCTCCTATCAAACGTTGCCAACTTTTAACTAAGTATTCGGTCAAATTTCTCTATTTTAATTAATACTCTCTTTCGAGATGAATCAATCCTATTTAACTAAGGGTCTGTTTGATTGCAATAGTGAAATTTGGGTGGAAATAAAATGAATTATCTAGAACTTGTTCTTCAGGGA